CCCAGCTTAGTTTTTGTATTTTTAGTAGAGATGGGGTTTCACCATGTTAGCCAGGACGGTCACAGCCACAGGTCACAGGCCCGACCCTGTGATCTGCCCACCTTGGCTTCCCAAAGTGCCGAGATTACAGGGGTGAGCCACCGCCCGGCCCTTCTTTACTTTTTAACCCTTGTCTTGCCACATTCTGGGCCTTGGCTTTTGCTTCTTAGACTAGGGCACTACAACCTTCTTATAGCCTTGTCTGTTACTTTTCTTGGAGTGAATGAATGCAGTACTTATTATTGTTATTATTTTTAAATTTCTGCCTCAAGCTAAACAAACTCACTCAAAGTTTGCAAACCATCCCTTAGAAAATTGTGAAGTCATTAAATACAGCTATTGTAGGAAGTAATATGAGTTCATAAAATGCATTCGATATTAATCATCGAAGTTTAATTGACTCATCAGGCTTAGTTTTTCTTTTCTTTCCTCATTTCTACCTATATTCTTTTACATTTGTGTTAAAGATGCCTCTGGAAGTTCTCTGAACTGAAAGGTTTATTTCTTCTTCATTTCTGATAATCTGATTAACAGGATTTTATAGTCTAAAAGAATCTTAGAGCACAGAGAGAAAATAAACCACTTACCTTGTAGTTGAAGGTTCACAAATAAAAGTTATTTTATTTATTCATTTATTTATGAATGACAGAGTCTCTCTCTGTCACCCAGGCTGGAGTGCAGTCGAGCCATCTCAGCTCACTGCAATCTCTACCTCCCGGGTTCAGGAGATTCTCCTGCCTCAACCTCCCAAGTAGCTGGGATTACAGGCGTGCACCACCACGCCAGGCTAATTTTTGTATTTTTAGTAGAGACAGGGTTTTACCATGTTGGCCAGGCTGGTCTTGAACTCCTGACCTCCGATGATCCACCTGCCTCAGCCTCCCAAAGTGCTGGGGTTACAGTTGTGAGCCACTATGCCCGGCCAATTTTCCTTAATAACAAAATAATCTGGTTTTTCAGTGAAAACAGCAAACCCACTCACTAATAGTTCTAAGTGCTAGATCACCTTAAATTGTCGAAGTCCTCACAATTTACAAAGCACCATTTGCATCTAATAAAACTACCTAGTGGGCCTCAGTCCCTCAACGATCACTACTGAGGTCCAGTCCCCTGACCCGTTCCTCCCTCCCCCTCGGGTCCCATGCAGGCTGCTCACCGGCCGAGTTCTCCTGCTTGAGGCAGTGGATGGAGGTTCTCTGGGTTTTTGGCTGCAGCAGGAGCAGGAGCACGGGTTCGAGGATGCGAGCCACGTCCCCGAGGGAGAGCGCACGCACCAGCCAGCCCTGGGCTGCTGCGCTGATGGCGCCATCCGTGCAGGCCAGGCTGTCCAGCACGACGAACAAGGACCTGCGGTGGGAAACACACTGGTGAGTCTGCTCGCAGCCACCCCTGTGCGCCACGCACCTTGGCGGACACTGGGCATAGGGCATCACCCAACACAGGGCCCCCAGGAGCTCCACCCAAGCTGGACTTCCAGACCCAAGTGGATGAGGATAAGGGGGACTCCACTTGGGTTTCACGTTGGAATCACCAGTGGGAGCATTTAAAATCCCAATGCTCAGGCCTCACCCCAAATGGGTTATATATCTGAGTCTGGGCCTGGGCGCCAGGCATCAGAATCAGCTGGCGTCTCTAAGGCTGAGTGCCTGGCCTCATGCCTAGAGTTTCAGAGGTACTCGGGAAAAGCAATGTGGAGTAGAATGGGCTGCAATCAAGTTCCCCTCTTCAGCATGAGTCAGTGATGGGACAAGCACACACACCAATTGTGCTCACTCCCCCAGGGCAGGTTTAGGCCATCTGACCTCCCTGCAAAGTCCCCTTGTAGGGGCATGTTGTAAAAGCTGCACAGGTGATTCCGGGGTATGCTGGGATTCCTCACATCCCAAACAAATTAACAAAATTCCTAATGTGTTCACATGTGTCTGGCCTAAATTCACTTGTTTATGGGAACCACTGGCTGTGCTCGGGGGGTCATGAGCAGGGGTCAGGCGTTCTTTTTTTGAGATGGAGTTTCGCTCTTGTCACCCAGGCGGAGTGGAGTGGCACAGTCTTGGTTCACTGCAACTTCCACCTCCCGGGTTCAAGCGATTTTCCCGCCTCAGCCTCCCAAGCAGCTGGAATTACACATGCTCACCCTCATGCCCGGCTAATTTTTGTATTTTTAGTAGAGATGGGGTTTCACCATGTTGGCCAGGCTGGTCTTGAACTCCTGGCCTCAAGTGATCCACCTGCCTTGGCCTCCCAAAGTACTGGAATTACAGGCATGAGCCACTGCGCCCGGCCATAGGGGTCATGTTTTCAACTGCATGCACCTCTCCCTCCCCAGCCCCACATGTTGGGCAGGAACCTCTGTGGAGTTTCCTTGAGAGTTAACGGTAGCTCATAACGAAGACTGCCTTACCTGTCAAAGGAGCGATTGTGAGATGTTACTCGACTGCCTTGGATCTCTCTTGTCAGATGCCAGATCACGGAAAATCTAAACAGAGCTTCCAGCCTTGTTCCCTTGATGAGGAAATAAATGGGAGTGAGGAACTTGGTTTCATAACTGACCGCTGTCTTCAGTCACCATAAACCCCATTTAAACAATAGATCAAAGACTTCAGCAGAACTGACAGCAACCACAGCAAAGATTCTGCCTTCTCCTTTGACTGATTCGGCCACAAGGAAAAGGAGAACCTGCATCCTCTCTCTCTGAGTGTTCACTTTAACAGAGCAGCACATTCGGAGCTCAGTATTGGAGTCCAGGGTCACCTCTGTCGCCTGCAGCCAAAGGAGAACACAAAGGAGCATGGCTTCCTTGCAAGTGTCAGCCCCAAGTGTCTTAAAGAACGAGGACACACAACAGACTACAAAGGAGATCCAGGACAATAAATTCTCAATGAAATATAATTTTTTAAAACGTTGGTTTCTTATTAGTTTTATTGTTATTTTTTATTTTTTGAGATGGAGTCTCGCTCTGTCACCCAAGCCAGAGTGCAGTGGAGTGATTTCCGCTCACTGCAACCTCTGCTTCCCAGATTCAAGTGATTCTCCTGCCTCAGCCTCCCGAGTAGCTGGGATTACAGGTGCCCGTCACCACGTCTGGCTAATTTTGTATTTTTAGTAGAGACAGGGTTTCACCATGTTGCCCAGGCTGGTCTTGAACTCCTGACCTCACGGGATCTGCCTGCCTCGGCCTCCCAAAGTGCTGGAATTACAGGCGTGAGTCACCACGCCTGGTCTTATTTATTTATTTATTTTTGGTAGAGATGGATCTCACTCTGTTGCCCAGGTTGGAGTGCAGTGGTGCGAACTCGGCTCACTGCAACCTCTGCCTCCCAGATTCAAGTGATTCTCCTGCCTCAGCCTCCCGAATAGCTGGGATTACAGGCATGTGCCACCACGCCCGGCTAATTTTGTATTTTTAGTAGAGACAGGGTTTCACCATGTTGCTCAGGCT